TTAGGGGATCCTTATGGGGGATTTTTAGAATTGTAATTGTATACAAGGACAATATGGTGTTTTACACAAAGTAGATTTTGTTCAATTTTGCAGTTTGAAAATGAAATATTTAATTTGTATTTTCTTTTAAAAAGAATTCACATCTAAACATTCTCCCCAAGAAATTCCAGTACATTAATTGTTATACAATTACATTTGTTTAATTTCTGTACATTTATATTTTGATTCCCTCTATATCTCCAAATTGTTACTTTGTTTTTTTTCTCCTGGCAGCTCCATTAATGAAATGTATTTTTATTTGGAATTCATTATCTTCATTTTCCCATCAATCCCTAATCCACCTCTTTTTCGTAACTGTTATTTGTATTGCTAGTCAGTGGTCATAAAGCTATTAAATGATTCTATTGATTAGCCACAAAGTACTGCCCACATGTTCTTATCTTGTATCAGTCAGATACGTGTATTTGTTTATAAAACTAATTATCATCAAAACTCATTAACAGTTCGAGATATGTAAATGAATTTTTCTTCTGTGGATTTGGAATATTAAGAAGTAACAAAAACAGCTGAAAATGAAATTTTGATAAAATTTAGTTGCTTTTGTATTGTGCTACCTTAAATGTGTGCAATCTAACAGTGTTTTATTTTTTTTTATTTTGGGCCCGTTTTTCAAACTGGTTCACATTAAGGTCCAAAGTATCCAAAATTAAACTTAGTTTGATTTTAACATAAACTAATTTTTGGGATTCTGTGATATGCTGAATTTAAGCATATAATTTAATTTTTTGCACAGTTTTCAAGTTGGTTGATATTGGGGTCCAAAATTAAACTTTGTTTGATTTCAACAAAAATTGAATATATAGGGTTCTTTGATATTCGGAATTTAAGTGCATATTTAGATCTTGGATTTTTGGTCCTGTTATCAAATTGGTTCACATTGAGTTCTAAAGGGTCCAAAATTAAACTTTGTTGGATTTCTTCAAATCTTGAATTCTTGGGGTTCTTTGATATGCTGGTTCCAACCATATATTTAGAATTTGGATATGGGACCATAATTGGTCATGTTGGTAATGGTCCAATTTTAAATTATTTAAGTACTTGGACCACATTCATTCTGTGTCAGAAACTATGCTATATCAAATACATAATCAGAATATAAATTGAGAGATGTGGTGCACAATTAATCGAAATTTCAGGTTGAGTCATAGTTAAAAATAGATACAGCAACATATCTAATTATAGAGAAGAAATTATGTATAGAGATAGTTTGAAACCTACTGTTCATTTTTAGATATTTTGGATAATATTCAACATCTTTATAACCTAATCATAGAAATTAAATATAAAAAAGAATGAAGGAAAGTTTATAATGAATTCCCCTAAACATAACAAAAAAAATTGAAAATTTAATTTTTCTTCTTTTAAAATTACACACATTTTGTATAATAGATTTTTACAATTTACTAAATATACACATTTCTACATATGAATTAGTACAATGTATTTACTAGCAATTTATTCATGCAATAATTTTCACCTACTATCAAGATAACAAAACATGTCGTTATTATCAATAACACAATTATAATTGAAGTGACAGATTTATTTGAAAATTTTGTGTTTCCTAAGTGTTGTTGATGATAAGCTCTGTAGGACGGTATAAAAATAGTTTGATATTTACTGTTTATTTCTTAATTTTGAAGATGATTACAGATAAGTTTTATAGATTTTTTAAAGAAATTGTATTTATGATAAATGATATTTTGGAAATTATTTTTTTCTTTTCTTTGGTAAATTGTTTGAAGAATTTTGTGGTAGGTTTAATTTGTTTGTTATTCTTAATAAACTAATTTCCTGAATGCTATATATATATATATATATATATATTTTGATGAAGCTAACTCCTTTTAAAACTAAGCTTATATTGACTATCAATAAACATGTATTTAGATTTTTGATTTTGGCCCCAGTTTTCAAGTTGGTTCAAATCGGAGTCCAAAATAAAACTGTGTTTGATTTCAACATAAATTGAATATATATGGGGTTCTTTGAAATGCTGAATCTAAACCTGTATTTAAATTTTGGAATTTTGGGCCAAGGTTTGAAGTTGGTCCAAATCAGGGTCCAAAATTTAACTTTGTTTGATTTCAACAAAAATGGAATTTATGGGGTTCTTTGAAATGCTGAATCTAACCATGTATTTAGATTTTGGATTGTGGGCTCCGTTATCAAATTGGTCCACATTGAGGTCCAAAGGGTCCTAAATTAAACTTTTGTTTGATTTCATCAAAAATTGAATTCTTGGGGTTCTTTGATATGCTGATTCTAACCTTGTACTTATATTTTGGATATTGGACCATAATAGGTAAATGTCCAATTAAAAATTTTTCAGTTCTTTGACCACATTCATTTTGTGTCACAAACCTATGCCCTGTCAAATATTCAATCACAATCCAAATTCAGAGCTGTTTTAAGCTTAAATGTTGTGTCCGTGCTTGCCTCAACTGTTTTGGGTTGGACCTCTGTGGTCGTATAAAGCTGCGCATAGCGGAGCATTTTATTATGAATTTCAATCATTTTGTAGATAATATTAATATCCCCTATTTTGAGCTTTACATATATTTTTTTTTACATCAAATTTGTCAAACCTTTATGAAGATTAATGAAACTTGGACACAGGTTTATTCATTAACAAAAGACAATACCCAGAGCAACTTTGTAAAATATTTTTTCTTATTAATAGACTATTTCTTATGTAGTTAATTTTAAAATACAGTCTTAGGTTAAAAATTATTAGACATCAATTAATCTATCAAACTTTCATGTAACTTTTCAAAACTTCGACTGAAGCTTTTTCATGATCTAAAGGTAGTATTAACAGCAAATGCTTTAGAACATTTTTTTTGACGTATTTTACGGATAAATGGACTTCTGCAGTTTGTGTTTAGATATAGTTTGTAGTTATCTTTCTCTTTAGACATCTATAACATTGGCAAATACTGTGGATTCATTTTTATTCGTGGTATACCAATTTTCGTGGGTTTCGTGGGTCACAGCGAATCACGAATTTAAGAATTCAACGAAGAATAATCTCGAGAAATGTGTATGGAATCGGATGTTTATTTCCGGTTATGTTATGTAGTTCCAGTATACTGTTGACTAGCGATAAACATTGTAACATACCATGTGTTTTTATTGAAAGAAGATACAAGTATTTTGATTAAATCAATAATAAATATATCGAATATCAGTGATAATTTACTTTTCAAAATTGATTAAAACTGTTCATGGAAAATAACTGCAAGTTGTTAATTACCGTGTCATAGTTTGGTTTACTGGTGATTAAAAATCAATAGGATTAAGTACGGGAATATTGCCCGTAGGTAATATTATTTATGATAGGAACATTTATTTTCACACCTTTTACTTATATGACTGTTTATTATATTGTGATTACGGAAATGAGCTTTCAATCATAGAGTTTTGAATGCCTTATAAAATTCAGAAAAGAATTTATAAATTGTAAAACAAACAAATAATTAGTTGTCTCTGTCCATTATTGTAATAGTAGTTTTCAATGAACACTTTAACCTAGAATGACCAAGCGAGGATTTTGACAATTCAAAACTTTTTCAATGAATTTCCGTCTTTTTTGTTTGTTTTATTATTGATCAAACCAAGGAGGTTATATGATCTCCTAAATCAAAAAGAAATCAACGAATTACGTATCTGAGTTTGTTTTGTTTTTTTTTTGTAATCAGCGATCCACGAATTTACGTATACCACGAAACGTCTTTTTTTTCTCTATCCACGAAAATTGATACCTACGAAGAAAAATGAATCCACAGTACGTAGAATTTTATTTATCTTTGACAGAACATGTTTAAAATAAATAGATACGGAATATGCATTTAGTATACTCTACAAACACACACTAAAACATTATTTTTTTCTCTCAAAATATTATCATGTAGATACGTATAATAAAAAAATTATAACACGATGATTTAAAAATTTAAATGTCCGATAAAGGAATTTAAATTTCTGATTACGGCTTTTAATCACATGGGACCTTTCCAGTCAGTATTTGTTACGCTGCACGTAGACGGCGGACGGTTAAAACGAGAATATGTGTGTTTTAACCTCATATAATGCCCGCTATGGACAAACGTCGGGAGATTTTCCAGAACGACAACTTTCAACCGCACACTGCCAATGCTACGATGTTTTCATGCTAAAATGATTTGTTAGTGTGAGATATATGTGAATAATTATCCATCTTTAGGAGAAACGTTACTAAGTTACAAAACTATGATCTATTCCATTGAGCTTTTTAAACAATACAATATGTTTGAACTATTAATCTTATCCCCTATAAACATTAGCTTACGGATATTTGATGTGATTGCCTAAATTTTATCCACCAGAGAGCAATGAACGAGCTCTACAATAACTACTATTTGTTTACAGTAATCAAGTAATGTGTATTTATTACTTTACACAACGTACGCTTTTCTTGTCGCATAACTTTATATATTAAAATATTAGATATTTAAAATATTATATCGAGAGTGAATAAATGGTTTAAAAATCTTAAGCTAACTTGCACTACAATTGCTAGTAGGTTTGAATTTCAAATATCTCTACCTCGAAAATCACGAAAAAATATTAATTGTCGAAATGCGCATCTGGTGCAGTAAAATTGCTTCTGTTAATGTTATTAAACAATTTTACCACTAGACTTCCGCTTACTAGAAACAGTTGGGTAACACACAACATAAAAACAAATTGTACAAATATATCGAAAAGGGTTTGACTTATTAGATTTGCACATTATCCTCAAAACAAGAAACACAATAACAAAAGACACAAAATACCGATCTAAGATTTTGATGTTAATACCCCCAAAATCAAGTTTATTTGTGTATTAATCATTTTAAGTTTAAAATAAGAATAGTTTATTTCATGTTGATAGAATAGCTTTTCACTTTTAATTTCAGGAAATACAGAAGATGTGTCTACTCTTGTTGGTTCTTGTGTTGGAGCATTTTTAGGTGTGCTTGTTGTTATTTTAATTGTTTATGCAGTCATTAAAAGATACAAAAAGGAAACAGGTAAATGCGAAACTATATAACTATATCTATCATACACTGTTTATTATCAATTTTGAAAATTATGGAGTTTATTTGTTTATTTGCATATTATAAATTATTAATAACACAAATATTTATCTAAATAAATATACTGTAAATTCAGAATTTATAGCGTACATTTATTACTGCGATTTTTAAAGAATGAACACAAATGCGAGATAAGTTTTTGCGACTTCATGAAAAGGTGCATACAGATATATGCATAAGATAATAGAATGCGAGTTCTTATTATTGCGATACTCAGCCAGTCGGATTATTCGCATTAATAAAAACCTCGCAATAACTTATGAATTTACAGTAATTGAGTCAATATAAATAAGAAGATGTGGTATGCGTGCCAATGAGACAACTATCCATCCAAGTCACAATGTGAAAAAAGTAAACAATTTTAGGTCAAAGTCTTTATCGATAGTTAAGTTCCTATCAGTTTAAATGAACTACCCACGTCTGATATTTCGACTTAAATCATTTTTATTGGCGAAGTATAAACTATGCCTGTATAAGACGCAAATATTGTTGTGTAGCTGCTCTCCTTTTTAAGTCTCCTAAAACAAAGTTTGGAGATTTATTGGTTTTGCTCGGTTCTTATAATTATTATTATTATTATTCCCACTTCTTCTCTTTTTTTTCTGCCGCTTCGAATTTGAACTTGTCCGAAGCAGTTTCCTAAACGGCAAGTCTGATTTACTTAATGTTCCTAAATATGTTCGACTATCATGTCTAGTGGTGCCATCAGGGCTTTTTTGTGCATTGGGTTATATAAAGGGGTACTTTGAGGGGCCACAGAAAGGAGGGGTTTACTATAGAACATTTTTTTTCAATTTACACAATTCTTATTTTAATTGGAGAATCTATATAATTGCAAATGTTCTACATGATAAATCAAATCGAATGACATATATGGTTGGTTCTTAAGGCCACCCAACCACATGCCATTTTATAATGTTCTAATATCTTGTAAATGGTCAAGACCCCCACTCCTCAACCATATATATCACTGTTCTTTATGTCAAAAAGATTTGAATGATATTCAGGATTATTCCCCAGTGGTCATCCCCACCCCTGTCGTTTGACTATTTTCAAATATCTTGTAAGTTGTCAAGATCCCAACACCTAAACCATATGTATTCTTATTCGTTACGTCAAATGGTTCGAATGATATGCAGGGTTTGTGCCCAGGGGTCATCCCAATCCCCTGTCATCTGCATATGTTCAAACATCTTGAAAGTGGTCAAGATCCCCACCCCAAAACCATTATATTCTGGTTTGTCATGCTAAGATGATTTGAATGATAGACAGGGTTACTTCTAAGGTGTCATCACCATCCCCTGTCATATGAATATGTTTATAGATATTGAAAGTAGTCAATATCCCTACCCCTTAACCATATATTTTCTGGTTTGAAATGAAAAGATACATAGAATTAAACATAAAAGAAGTTACCAGGGTTCATCCTCACCTACTGTAATAAGAGAATGTTCTATATTTTGTAAATGATTAAGATCCTCACCCTTAAACCAGATCATTTCTACAAGATGAATAACATGGATAATAGGGGAAGTCCTTAACGTTTATCGTTATGAGGACTTTGTTTGGGAGATTTCATAACAGCACCCTGTTACAATCATTTCTTGTTTGATCATTTACAGTTGTGTCTTAGACATGTTATACAATGTTTTTTTCTTCTAAATTGTATCATGAACAATTCAATATCAGCCCCAGTATGAACCCGAAACCGTAAGGTCAAATGTTAAATAAATGAATGATATATTTAAATTATACATCGATCACCTTAACAATAGATAGTATTCACCTTCTATTTGCATAGTATGTACTACCTTATATGTGTTATTAGGTTCTGACTTCTGTTTCTTGTATTCGAATACCCTTTTATTAGTAACGGATTTAATCAGTTAAAACATTGTTTCAATTGTATTAAATAGCTTTTGCATAACTATGATATTAATCCGGTCAAAATTCACAATGCCGCGCAAAAACCTGGTATCTTTGGTAAGTTTTAATACAGTATTTGGTTTAGGAAGCAAAATTGGCATAATAAAGTTAAAATATGAATCTTGCTCCTGAAGGTATAGCTGCATTAATTGTTAGTACAGCGACGGGGACACAGTCAAAACTCATCATTGTGATTTAATGTTTTCTCCTTTGATATTTCATAAATCGAAATGACGAAAAGGCAAAACCGCATTAGGCAACTATATATTGTGCCTTTCGTTTTTTACGATTTAGCTTAATGGCATAAACATTGTTCGTTTCTGGTCACTATAAGAGAAAAAATTATTTTCTAGGGACATAATAACATACATGCAGTGTATTGATATACAATTGACATAAAGAAAAGCTGAGAAGAAATAAAGTCACAAAAAACTTAAAAACTACTTCGTATAAATAGCTGGACATTGTAAACATATCCAACATAAAATACATATCTCAATATTAAAACATAACTATAATATGAGATAGATTATAAAACAAATATAAAACGCCTCAATACTTTTTCATGTTTGAACCAATAACTGTGAAATCATTTTTAGTCGCTACAAATTCCAAGGCACTATAAGCTTTATTAATTAATAGCTCTTTGTAAATTCATAATTTCAAATGTGAATTATTCTATTTTAGCAGGATCAACTGATACAAAAAAAGTTAACCGTGAACAAGAAAAGTTCATGTAAAGTGGCAACAGAAAACGAGGAAATAGGAAACATACAAAATTGGAGTGTGATGTTTGCATACAGAAGAAAATCAGCTTTGTTGTCATAAACTTAATCTCTCTTCTAAATAGTGCTAACATATACATCTAAAAAGGCAACATGACAGCTTTGAACCCAATTTCACATCATATATCGACAAAATTCTGGAAAAACAGATCATTTAAATAGTTTTTTGCACAGATTTTCAAACCATTGTTTGGTAGGAATTGGGAGTTTTCGCGCCACTTATATATTTTTTTTACATTTCGTAACGCATGATTTTGATGAAACTGTGTCAGCCGCATATTCTGCAAATTCCCTACTTAACCCGGCCCTTACATTGGACATTAAACATGTCATTCACTTCCAGGTAAAAAAAAGTGTCCATTTTATCACACACACATACATATATTATATCAATGAAAGGCGATGTAGATTATACGACACAAATACACAAAACACGTTAAGATATAAAAATACACGAAGTGAATCTAAAAATTAAATATGTCAAGTTTTAATTTGTCTGAAGTCTTCAAAAATATTTAACAGGGAAATATCAAAGTTCTGTCATTACTACCAAATTTCTAAGAAGGACAAAAAAAAATGTTAATATGAATAAAAGAAAATGTTTGCTAGGCATAGTATGCGATTTGTAGCATCGACATTGCTCTACTACTTATGAAATTTTATGTTAAATACAGTAGGTAAACTTCAAGTCGGTCAAGAAGTATTGACTATAGATGTATTAAAATACCTACATGTGCTATCTCGTCTGGTAGACTAGGTTTTCATTCATAGCTAAAGCATACACAATCCATGTCATCTCCTATTTCCTTCGTACAAAATGCATAAGGGTAACACAACTGATAAAAAGGAATACTGATTTCAGAATCTTACTTTAGAATACCTGCTAAATCCTCGTATAAACGTTCTACTGCGTATAACGCACAGGTGCTATATTACGTGAATGGAAAAAAATTCGACAAAACATATTGGTTAAATCAGTACATGTATGCTTTATACATTGTTTATATGACTTATTTATGCATTTTTAATATATTTTAACACCAATTGTGATTCAAAGATGAAATGAATTGTTTGTCTGCGGATGCAATGCTAATATGTTTTTTTTGTTTATATTTACGTATTTTAATACACATTATTTATTTTTATCAAACTTATCTGGGTGCAATTTTATTCCTGTGCAGTATTTGTGTAAGTGCAATTTATGTTTAAATAAACCATTCACTATTGAGTAAATATCTATTGTTTGGTTATTAAGGAAATACATGAAAACATTTGTTTTACATTATCGTTGTTTATAATTTGTTTTGTATTCTTTTTGTTTTTATTTAATTTTATTAAAAGTATTGAATTTTGAAAATCATAGGTGTCAGTAGATCACGGCCTGCCTTTACATCGGCAGCAATGCCAAAAACCATCATAGGCATTGTTCACAGCTAGTGTCCCCCCGAAATGTAGTTGTAGAATCAACTTTCACACAGTTGTTCTTCTGTTGATAGTATGTACTCAGAAGGAATAACTCACTAAGCAGACCAAGTATAATATATAATATCAAACGGATATCAACGTCTTACTCGTTTGATACAATACATCCAGTATAAAGATGGGAGATTTTAATTTTGATGTTAATACAAGAGTACGAACTTGTGATTTTCTTATCTCTCATCTTCCGAAATTGACTAATAGGTATAATTCGGATTCTTAGTTTAGCTGTGAATTCCATGGTCTTTAGTGAGACCTTCGAAATAATTGCTTTTGGATATAGAACAATGTTGTTTTAAGACTTTATCTACTGATTTATCCTAAAGGGAGAATAAAGCATCCACATTCGTCTTTAAAAATTCAGAAACCCGTGATCTCATTGTACATCGTAGATTTTGAATTGAATGTAATTCTGAATGCATGACCGAACATCTTTGATCCATTCTGATGAAGTGTCCAGTTTTGGTTCATCTGGCTGGCGGTTTACTAATTTTCTGGCATAGTTAATCAGTAACCTGACGTTCTTTTTCCAGTTGAAGGGGTGAGGGATTCAATATCCCCGGCCTTGAATTAGAACTCTCGAAGCTCATTGTTTACGATGCCAAGGTCTCAAGTTAAAACATGACCTGCGGGACTATATTTATAAAAGAACAATTGGAAGGTTTGGAGTTTACAACCCTGAGGGAAGAGGTCTATAATACCCTTCTGTGGTTGACAATTTTGAAAGCAATGAGTAAAGAGAAAAAAAAAATAACAAAAATACCGAACTCAAAGGAAAATTCAAAACAGAAAGTCCCTCACCAAATGGCAAAATCAAAAGCCAAAACACATCAAACGAATGGAAAACAACTGTCATATACCTGACTTGGTACAGACATTTCCTGTTGTAGAAAATGGTTGCTAAAAATCTGATTTTATAGCTAGATAAACCTCTCACTTGTATGACAGTCGCATAGAATTCCATTACATTGACAACAATGTGTGAGCAAAACAAACCGACATAATAGGTAAAAATGTCAAAAATTGAGGTACAGCAGTCAACATTGTAATAACTATTCTTGATCACTATAAAAACAAATAACTATTTCAACAAAAAAAAAACTGTTTGGCATAAAGACACTCTATAGACAAAGTACATAAGCAAAAATGAAGACAAGAATACAAAATTGACCATACCACAATAACACAAAGGCTTAAGATTATAAGTACCGAGCAACGGCAAAAGTATATTACCAAAAATGGACTTAACAAGGTTAGAAATATACAAGGCCAAATAAAAAGACCTCGTAGATGACGTAGTTGTATGAAATGACAGATGTAGTTTTATCTTTGAAGTAATCAGGTATTTTGTTCTGCACATATTTTTGGTGGAAAATATTGCTAATATATTAACGACATCCAAACCCATATTATAAAATTCTACATAAAAAACTACATGTTTTATTATCTTTTTAAGTGATTGTTAGAATAGCCTATGGTTAGCCATGTCCATAATCAATCTGTATTTAGAAGAATAAGTATTGATAACGAAAATGTGTTTGGCTTCTTGAAAAAAGTGAAATGAGTTTTGATAAAAGTATGGAAAAGAGTTTAGTTCGAATATAGTGAATTACCAAATGTTATTTAACAGTGGATAACAAACCATCTATAAACACGATGTGAACTGTAGGAAGTGTATATGTTTGATGACCATGCAATCACCTATAAGTAGCAGAAGTTTGATTTAAGAAATTTGCATCATCCGATGATGTCATGAATGACAAAGAAAGAGAACGGAAGAGTAGCTACGATTAGCGGAACCTTTAGATAGGTGCGATCATAACTTGTAATAAAGTTATTGAGTATACATTCTGACTGTTTTCTACTTTAACTTGATATAAACTATTGAAGGCAGGCAAGTTAACTAAATCGGTCACAAACGAGACCTAAGATTGCTTTTTCAGGAATGCTCCAGTACTGTGTATATATATATCTGTTTTGAACCAGAAATGCTGTCAGGTCTGTTTTTAACCCCTCTATTTAAGACTAGAAATTGACATTCAATCATATGTTGAACACTTGCAAAAGAGATAACGTTTCACCGAGAACAAATGAGGTAGATGTAGGCAACTATAGGTCACTGTACGGCTTTCAACAATAAGCAAAACCCTTACCGCATAGAAAGCTGTGAAAGACCCCGACATGTCAAAATGTAAAGAAAATTCAAATCAGAAAAAACACTTTTGATCGGTCCTACAGATGTTGTAGACCGTACATGTGGACTTGTCTGCTTTTAATCGGTATTGGCGACAATTTAAACAATGTAGGTAAGCTCTTTTCTCGTTCAAAAGTGTGACCAATAACGTTTTGTATTTTCGAAACGGCACTTCAGAATATATTTGTATTCCCATAAAAAGATGTATGCGGTGTGTCAATATCGAGAATCCAGGACATTTAGGAACATTAAATCAATCGATACAAAGCGGTCCTGATCACAAATTAACATTAGCAAGATTACAGTATCAGATAAACTATTGATGAGTTGATTTTTAAACTATTGATTTAATTTAGATATAGTATGTTCAGGTTAAGTTCCTTGTTTTTAATTGATATGTTTGCATTTAATGACACTTTTGAATTTCATAAACTGTTGGCACATATATTTGGCTCGCCTGTGTTATTTCGAACGAATGGTGCAAATGTTGAAATCTAAATGACAACACTTCCGCAAAAAGATTATGCAAACGTTTCTATTTCAATTGGCAATTCCTAATTAGGCTAGATAAAAATATCTCTATGAAAATGACATGCACCAATTCTTTTACAACGGACTATTAAATATCATTGACTAAACGTATAGTATCCACTTCAACTGGCTTAATTACAATAAAGTTTGACAATTGTTGAGGTCGTGGCCACCGACGACGCCCTCGCTTCTGTCGACTCCATTACCGGAAAAAACAAGCGTAAGACTCTACTCTGCGAGACAATAAATAAGAATTTTTAAGATATCAGTTGATTAATCTATGGTTTATTAAATACTTAAGATACTATTGTGTGTTTTTAAAAATACAGCCAGGATGATCATTTTGTTATTGTACTTTATTTGTCTGTGAATTTATAAAATATAGATTGAAATGGTCTGTACACATCCATTGGTTATTGTTTGAACATTCATGAGAAGCAAATGTTGATAAATCCTATTTTTTGTCATCCTGTTTGTGGCTGGATTGCACAGACTTTTTAAAATGTGTTTTATTTTTAAGACAAACGATCTAGACACGCTAAGACAGAAGTTTGGTTAAACCTAACCATATTTTGTGCAAAAAACAGCGATGTGTTGTTCGTTGTTGTCTGTCTTCGTTTGTTTGTCTATTGTATCGGATGTTAGTGGTTTATGTAATTTTTTGGTACTGTTAAATAATTTTGGAAAATCGTGGCATTCCTTTTCATGGTTTAAGTATTATTAGTAGACAAGAGTCATATCGCCTTTTAGGAAATGCTCAAGACATGCAGTTTTGTTAAACTGACAGATCCTGAATATTTGTATTAAACTTTCATACCAGGTGACTGATTTATTGAGATAAATGACAACTTTTTTCACTTAGTATTTGCCAGTATTGTTTTACTAGAGGCTATTGATGGTAATTCTAAACAGAATATTCAGACGAAACTAATATAGTTATAGGGCTTAATGTATTCTAAGATTATTATGAACCAAAATTTCAAATATCGGTGCAAAATATGGATAAGGCCATCTTTACCTGATGATAGAAAAGCTTTAGTGTTTTGGAAGATATTTAGTATTTTATAACGAATTATTAAAGAAAATTACATCATTATTGATATTTAAGGTCAACACAGGAGTGTTTACTCCTGAAATAAATTTTAACAACTGAGTAAATTTAGTACGCCAGACGCGCATTTTGTCTACCCAAAACTCATCAGAGGCGCTCGAATCAAAACACTCGTAATTCTATTATATATGGTATATGTGTATTGTTTTAGTATTATCATTGATCCACAAGAAGGCTGACATGTGCTAATTTGATCATAATTAGGCAAAACTAAATGTAATGACATTTATTTGAGAGTATATAAAGAAAACGGCAATTAATATCGACATTTCACTAGATTAATCATATATTTTATTCACACTTTTTTTTTTATTAATAAAGAGAAAACAAATATCATCATGTAATATCTACCTTTCTTTGTCTACTGTCAACTTTCCTTCCTGAAATATTACAAGCGATACATGAGCCAAAATGTAAATGCTAATTTGACGTGTATAATACGATATGTACACGGAAATGAAGAGACTGAATTTTAGTTATACAGTTTGCTAGTGACCTAATACGATTTACATGGGGTCAGTAGATCCCATAAGGGGTGAGAGCGAAGCTGTGTAACGAATGCATGTTACCGACAGCATTAACATGTAGCATTAGACTAGTGGCCTATCAAATTGATCAAGTCTTCAATATTAAGAACCTACTTCCATAGGTCTATACAAATGCCAACAATAACCACTTATTAGCTTTAATGTGTTTTCTGCATTTATTTTCAGTCGTTCATCATCAATATTTTCATCTGTTGTTTAGGCAAAATGTTTAAGAATTTTCTTCGACGTCATGTTGTTTTTACAAAAGGACGTAACACTGCTACTCACCCAATAATAAAATAAAACACGCCCACTAACCCCATATTAAATATACAGGGTCTTCACGCGATCGCTTTTAACCAATCATATTCCTAGAAATGTATAGGAGGTAAATTAAGGTTATTTACCAGTACATTTAAGACCTTAACATTCGTAAAAGTATTCTCAGCAAAACATATTCCTTCAGTTTGCTTACTAAATTGAAGGACTATTTTGTCATAGACACAAACTGTCAT